TCCTACAACCTTTTAACACTCCAACGATGGCTTTAAAAATCTAGCAACAAGCGCTTATAAACAAATGAACGTCTCGATACACTGAGCAGCAAAGTAACTTGAAAGCCGTAACTTAGCAGCAAAAAAATAATCTACTGAAACTGAACGACCCCAAGAATGCCCTCTAGAACACTTTCAGAATCTTCCAAATGATGCTTAATTGCTACGATGTCGTAAATGTACAATAATAAAACAGTGCAAAACGTACAACAACGGGATACCGTACGATAACTCCTCCCAACTATCGTTGCATGCAACGTGAACCAGCAATACAAATCGCATGCGAACTTCTTTTGCAGCTAACTACATCACTTACAACGTTTCTATGGGAACCATAAGCTTTGGCACTACAACAATGGTACGCTTTTTGCGTTTCGACAACCAACCCTAAACGAGCAAACTAATCGCAGAAATTTTAGAACAACAAAGAAACTAGCAAGGCTGCAAAATCTAGGATTCATCAATTTTCTAGAGTTCTCTAGGAATGATCAATATTCACCAAATCTAGCATTGAGTCAACAAAAAATTTGTGTTACCTTATTCAATATGCATCGTATTGAATGAAGCGATCAGGGATCGCAACTCCATTTGCTCACGTTCTTAACCGCACTCATCAGAACTCGAGCAACAAAGCACTTCAAGGAAGTCTCAAAGACTTCAAGTTTCCTGGTGTTAATAAAAAAGTTGATTTGAGCTATTTCATACTGCAAAAGTGAACAGCTCCAAAAAAAAACTTTGGAAAAAAACACTTACCTGCATTAGCCTTGAGTTGATAAAGCAAAGTCATTGAAAAGGACGGTTCAAGTTCTTCACAAAAAACCCAAGCGCAGCAGTTGCAGTTTATACCAACTTGCAGATGCCGCAACCTGAAACTTGTCATTGCAACCGTTACTTAAAACTGGAAAACTTTATTCGATTGCGCTTTGGCGACTCTCATGCCTGTGTCAATTTTGCTGAGTTTCTGCGCAAACTCGTGCAAAAAACTGAGCTGAACAACTGCGAATTAGACTTAAAGTTTTAAAGTCGAGTAACCCAATGCAACTTGCTCGCTCTGAACTGCGTACAAAATGGAATGAACTGTGCAACACCCAAAGAACTTACCCACGGGCATATCAACACCGGCATACTCTAGAGTTTTAAAAAAGGTCAAAAGGTACTCTATGTTGCTTTCGGTTAAAAAGATTGACAAAACACTTCACAAAAAAATCATCAGTCATCATGCGTAACAGCCAAAATAACAACAGAAACAATACTTCAAAAATGAACCCGGTTAATCAAAGTAGCTAAGCCCCTCTAGTTGGACAATATGCAGTTTTTGTAAAACTAACTAGGCAGCAAAAAAATGAGCTAATGAAAGTTTATTTTTTGTGCTTCACTCGCCTAGGTAGCTATAGACCAAATAGTTGTACTTAGGTTAGACGGTGTATCATAGACATCTGCTGATGTAATCAACTCTCTACTTTACACATGCAAAACACTTTACACAACTACTTACTGAAATGTTAAAAATATGAACAAGGAAAACCAACTGGACTCCAACTGTAACCTTAATTCAAGTTCTTGCCAACTAATTTAATCAAAATAATTGATGCAATTCATTGCCATGTATTTCTCTACAGTTGCAGAACGTATTCCCATATTTTGAAGTGTGCAGTTGAACTTGTGCAGTGTCAGCCCAGTCCTGTGTAGTTTGAGCCCAAACTTAGCATTCGTGGTGCATCCAGTAAAGATACTGTATTATCAAAAGTTGCTAAGCTATATCTTGGACAAATCAAGTCTACATCTGCCGCGATCGTTGTATATTTGTTTTACAATGGTAGAAGAGAAGAACAACTGCAATGCTATAGACACTGCAAAACGAACAACTTTTTTTCTCGATTTGATTACCTGAGACACATAACGCTTCCCACTCTCTTACACGGAGAAAAAGATTTTCTGAAAGGCCTTGTCAGCAGTCGGTATGGAGTTTGCATTTTCGTTGAATAAACGCCAAAGGACCATCTGCAACATTAATCTCTAGATAAGTTGAGTAACCATCATTTCAGACTTTATAAAAGAGACACGGAGCAAAGTCAGGATGATGCTTTTTTAAGCTCCTCTGCGCTTACATTTGGCACAAGCGGTATTTTGCGCGTGGAGGTGGCGACCCTCATAATGCAGGGATCAAAAATTGGAAAATTATTTTTAGCATCTTTCAACCAATCAGATTTGAGTATCCAAAATTCTCAAAAATTCCCAAACTCGTGCAAAAAACTGAGCTGAACAACTGCGAATTAGACTTAAAGTTTTAAAGTCGAGTAACCCAATGCAACTTGCTCGCTCTGAACTGCGTACAAAATGGAATGAACTGTGCAACACCCAAAGACCTTACCCACGGGCATATCAACACCGGCATACTCTAGAGTTTTAAAAAATATTGATGTCAAAAGGTACTCTACGTTGCTTTCGGTTAAAAAAGATTGACAAAACACTTCACAAAAAAATCATCAGTCATCATGCCTAACAGCCAAAATAACAACAGAAACAATACTTCAAAAATGAGCCCGGTAAATCAAAGTAGCTAAGCCCCTCTAGTTGGACAATATGCAGTTTTTGTAAAGCTAACTAGGCAGCAAAAAATGAACTGATGGAAGTTTTTTTTGTGCTTCACTCGCCTAGGTAGCTATAGACCAAATAGTTGTACTTAGGTTAGACGGTGTATCATAGACATCTGCTGATGTAATCAACTCTCTACTTTACACATGCAAAACACTTTACACAACTACTTACTGAAAGGTTAAAAATATGAACAAGGAAAACCAACTGGACTCCAACTGTAACCTTAATTCAAGTTCTTGCCAACTAATTTAATCAAAATAATTGATGCAATTCATTGCCATGTATTTCTCTACAGTTGCAGAACGTATTCCCATATTTTGAAGTGTGCAGTTGAACTTGTGCAGTGTCAGCCCAGTCCTGTGTAGTTTGAGCCCAAACTTAGCATTCGTGGTGCATCCAGTAAAGATACTGTATTATCAAAAGTTGCTAAGCTATATCTTGGACAAATCAAGTCTACATCTGCCGCGATCGTTGTATATTTGTTTTACAATGGTAGAAGAGAAGAACAACTGCAATGCTATAGACACTGCAAAACGAACAACTTTTTTTCTCGATTTGATTACCTGAGACACATAACGCTTCCCACTCTCTTACACGGAGAAAAAGATTTTCTGAAAGGCCTTGTCAGCAGTCGGTATGGAGTTTGCATTTTCGTTGAATAAACGCCAAAGGACCATCTGCAACATTAATCTCTAGATAAGTTGAGTAACCATCATTTCAGACTTTATAAAAGAGACACGGAGCAAAGTCAGGATGATGCTTTTTTAAGCTCCTCTGCGCTAACATTTGGCACAAGCGGTATTTTGCGCGTGGAGGTGGCGACCCTCATAATGCAGGGATCAAAAATTGGAAAATTATTTTTAGCATCTTTCAACCAATCAGATTTGAGTATCCAAAATTCTCAAAAATTCCCAAAAGTTTCAAAGAAACCGACTGAATTCAGGCCAATAAATTTAATATTGATCGATCAAAAAATTTCAAGTACTTCAATTTTTCAATATTGCGAAATCTAAGCCGAGCTTTGGAAAAAAACTCAAACAATTTTCAAAAATGAAAAATGAAACAAAAAATTTATCCGCAGAGACTGTAATGCAAAACTTTGCTGTGCTGATATTATTCATGTTCTGAAACCAATTTTTTTGCAAAAGTCATTTAGCCAATTAGAACTTTTCGCAAATTGTGATTGGTTAAAAGTTTTCCAATATTCGATCTCTCCATCAAGAATAAACCCCTCTCCCCTCGTCTCTGCCGCTAAGTTAGAGATTTCTGTTTTTGAAGTTGATAGATTTGCGTTTACTAGCCGTGAGATGGTTGTCTTAATTCGGAAAGCTCAACCCCAGCTAAGCGCCCTTTTGTGTCAATAAATTATGCGTTAGTTCTTTTGCATTGGTCTACTAAAAAGACATAGTTCTTCCGTTTTTTTATACTAAATGGGAGGTCTGCTGAAAGACCGTTTGCCTTTAAAAACACCCCTATTTGGTGAGAGACAGTAAAAGAACCTGGCTGGGTGACACAACACCCTCCCTCTTTTTTCAATAGAAATGTTCTATGTTCAAAAAAAGCATTCATTACTTTTACGGCTTATTCGATATTTTTCTGTGTTGTACGCTATTGTACCGACTTTCCCCGGGCATATATAAGTGAGGAATATATATGCCCGGGTTTTTTATTCAGACTGCTTTTAGATGGTTGACTGCACATGGGCATTGATCCGAGAACCTTGGGATTGCCAAGCGAGTATGCTTGCACTAGACTAAATTGCGGCTATGCCGATTGGAAAATTTGTTTTGCTATTTTTTTTCAATAGGCCAATTATTTAAGCGTGGCAAATTATCAGCACTCATAATCGTTCCAAATTGAATTGAGGCAACCTAATTGGTCTCATTAATTCCAAAAACGACTCAAATTTTTACACTTTGAGCAGCCTTAAATTGTAATTTGTCAATGTTTCATATAACAAAAACGACTCGAGACCAATTAATGAGCAGTCGGAACATTCAGGGCTTTGCCCTGATACGAGCAGTCTTGTTGTACTGTATATAAAAAGAATTCCGTACATCAGAATGTATTCAAAATTGTTTAATTGTCATAATGTTATACATACTTGCTAATTAATCAACGAAACAAAGTAAAAATCCAGAGTTGGAATGGAAATATGCAAGCCTACATTTTTGAACCTACGCAGAAAAAAAACCTACATTTTTGAATCTATATTTTTGAACCTACACAAAAAAAGAACCTACATTTTTGAACACTTAAGTTCTGGGCTGTAAATATTTACTTTAAGTGTTCAAAAATGTAGGTTGTTTTTCTGTGTAGGTTCAAAAATATACACAACGCTCTCTCAATCCATATACCAATCCACACACTGCTCTCATGTTGTCAACAAAAAAAAGTTTTTGCGGTAGATTCGTTAATGATACAAGAGCTTATTCAAGAAATGTGTTCATAAGTTATTGTGGTTCTCGATAGATTGTTCAGCGGTAGCAACAACATCTTCATAAGATGCAATTGAACTGCTTTTGTTTGCAATTAAGTTCATATCTGGACTGATGAAGACTAGGGCCGCATTGTACACATTCTCATTCACAGTTATTCTTCTCTGTCGCTCTACCACGAATCCCTTTTCAATCACACAGATTAACTGTCGCGTCGATAGTCTGACAACAAAGACACAAGAATGACAGATGGGTCCCAACAAATATGCTGCATTTAGCGCTAACTTGGCATACATCATTTCTAAAATCTCCTGAAAATTATTGCGAAAAAGAAAACAGGAAATGATAGAATGTTTTCTGATTTTTTTTTCATTTGTTTTTGTTTGTTGTTCACTTTTTCATGACAACGATTGTCGAATGTGCCTTGTTCACTAACTTTATACGCATTTGTGTAGTCTTCTTATCACAGCGCGCACGGAGAAAACGACACTAATGTGAATAAAAATTTAAAAAAAGTTTAATAGTTTTTTTTATGAAAGTAGTTTTTGCGCAGTAACCGACCATCCATGTTTCAGTTTTTTTATCATTAAGAAGTAAAGGTTTAAATATCGACTGACCTTTCTCACACAGCTGACCTCATTCAACTATAAAAATGATGCTTACTTTAGGTGGGGGTAGCGAAGGAAAAGCGCCCAAATATTGTTCAGGTACCCATCTACCATTGTTTTACCTGACAATGTCGTCTTCTAAGGGCTTCAAGTAGGTCCAAGGACAGTCCTGTATGCAAGACATTGAGGCCAAATTCAAGCAATCTGAACTATTTGACCCAACAAACTTTGACTCCTTTCCGCAACCCCTCCCCCACTAACTTGGTGTTTCCATAATGTAATGAAATTTTGCATGATGAATAAAATATTTATTCTGAACCAATATTAATACCTTCATTCTGAACCTCATAACATTTTTAAAAAAATCGAACATTTAGCCATAACAGCATGCATAAGTAATTTAAAAATGGAGTTTTGAGATTTGTGGGGGAAAAGGAAAAGAGCCGAAATGTTCCATGAAACGGATGTTACAATCAATTAGCCTCGTTAGTTTTCTACAAACAAGAAGAAAAAACGTGCAGTAATTGATCCGAATCCTTATCGTAATTATTAATTGCGGTTGCGAAAGCTTTCAGACCTTCAAACTATTTGTAGGTCAATAATGTAAGGTCTAAGCTGTTTAAAAACGTGATCGCCATCAGCAAAAGAGTGATCGCCCCACCCATCTTCATTCATAGCAACAATAATGTCTGCTTGAATTTAGCCCTTTCCTGAGAGGGGTAGAACAGCCATACGTCCACTTTTTCAGCCAGAATATCCTTTACTCTACCCAACATCAGGTGCTGCTCTCCTGAAGTTAATTTTAAAAACAGATATTAAAACATATTAAAACCCTAAAAGAGGGTAGATCATCTATAAGTTGTGAGATGAAGTTTTCGACCTAGCAGAATTGAGTAATTTGTACGATCAAAAAGTATCGAGGAAGTTATTGGACTTAGTATTGGCAAATGTAAGGGTCACGCGAAACTGGGAATCAAAAAACACATTCTTGAATACCAAAGTTTTCAATCATAAGTATCCAAAATATACCCACAGCTCTAGATAAATTCTTCCAAAAAGGAAGCGCTTCTACCCCTTCCCCCTTTTTTTCGCCTCTCCTCTCCCCTCCTCATCCCCCTCCCTCATTATCAACCCTTAAATACGTTTACACACATACACACATACACACACACTTACATGAAAATTTACTTATTTACTTATTTTGTCTGAATATAGGCAATCTTGTATAACAACAGAGTGCATCAAAAAAATCATGTTTATGCAATTTTTAAAAGAGCCTTTCATGTTTAAGAGAAAGGAAAACGGCCTTGATCGAATTTTTAAGCTGAGCATGATTGAAAATTGAAGTTTTCCCTCAAGTTCAATGAGTAGACAATTGAAGTACCTTTAATCTGGCAGACAGTGAAAACGAAGCTATTTAGAGACAAGGATTCTTTTTTGGGCGCCTGAAAAGCCCTTCTCCCTTGTAAACTGGGCAAGGAAGGCGGGAGAATTTTAGCAACTATATTGTCCATTAGTGGAATAGCTCCGCAGTCTTAAAAAGGAACTCGGTGTTAAATCACTGTTTTAATCTTCGATAAATGAGAAAAACAATCCGGTAATGCGCAAATTCAAAAGAAAATAAAATGTGAATGAATAGAAGCTTTTTGATCTGAAATCAATTGCGTGAATATGTTCAATTTGTTCACCTGTCGTTCCATTATTGTGATTTGAAGCCATTGTTTTGTAAATAAACAAAAGTACCTTTTCAATCCCATTAATTGAACTTAGATGTAAAATGAAAGTGTCTTTATTTTCCATCTTTTTACCATAATTGCCGCTATTGCAAAAAGGGGAGAAATTTGCTTTGTTTAAGGTTCAACATTTTACCTGGTGCATATTCGTTTGTAGGTACGAAATACCGCTTAAGTGACACATGTTTTTCACAAAAAGACAAGCAACATTCCATCAAATCATTCGCCATTAAGAAGCAAACGATGGACATATTCATTAAGAACCAACCTCAAAGTTAACTAAAAAGCTGTAGAAAATGAGTTACACAGCAGTTCCATTTATGGTATTTTTTGCTAGCCAATTTAAAATTGACTTTTTTTTCAAAAATAATGAAGTATTAAAGATAGTTTTGGTAGTGTTGTTTTTGAGGGACCGTTTTGGTAGAAGGGAGCAGTCTCAAACTAAATTCCGGGTTGACAAAAATGCTACTCATACAACTTTGTTCAAGTTGCTGCCCTTCAATCAGTTCAAGTTTTCAACTATTGAGCAATTTACTTTCAATTTACTGCCAGGACATGGTGATTTCGAATGAAATTCTAATTCAGCTGTTTGCAGCAAAATATGATGATATCCTACTCGATTAGCAGTACTGCTCTTTAGGATCTCCCTCCAGGCATATTATATTGCTTTTGGCGTTGTATATGTAGCTGGTAAACTAAATCAAATTTCAATTTCAGACACCCGAACTCACAAGAAATCATTGAATAGCTGAGACTGGGAATCATTACTTATTGGGACCATGAAAAAATAATGATGAAAATGTTAACGCCTGATGAACTCGTAACGATCCCTGCTTCTATTTTTATTTATGTCAGGTTATAAAGATGGATTTCACTGAGTTATTACTCAAATGTAATTGCATTTCTACCTCAGTAATTTAGGTGTCTCTGGGCTGGAATTAGATTACTTTTAATCAAGCAAAAACTTCAAAGGTAAATTTCCGTTGACTTTTTCATGACCTAAAATAATTACCCATACATTACATACTGAGCAAAATTTAAATTTCATACACAACCTATTGTTTTTTAATGGGTAGTTTTAACTAAACAAGGCTGTTTTGACTGTTTCTAAGCAGTATAAGCCATTTTTTTACTCGTACACGTAGTTCCTTGTTTTATGCCGCTGAAATTTTGTATTTCGGATTTTCAAAATCAATTTTTTTTTGTTGGTTAGTCAAGAGTATAGATGTATCAGAGATTAAATAAGCTTAAATTTTCTTGATAAAAAAACTGTTTTTCTAATGGTGGCACAAAATCAAATTAAAAAGAATAGAAAAAATTCAAGGCAGGCCTTGCATCCATTTGTGATGCTTTCAACTACTTAAATAAAACTGATACAGAAAAGCATTCAATCAACATAAAGCATTCGTTATCAGTTTTGAAAAAAAAGTTATTTTTATATCTAATTGTTTCTATGACATTTCTGATTTTTCCAAATTAATATTTTTTTGTCTCAGTTCTTGTTATTAGGTAGCAAATGAAACGCTCTGTAAAAGACAGCAATTATCTGACAACAATTTCAGTTCGGAGGAATAAGAAAAAATTGTCAAACAAAAGCAAACCTATAAATTCTTGAATAGTTTTGGCAAATTGCGTGACAAATTTTAATCAAATATCAGTTCGTTTGAATGTTCTGCTTGAAAAAAAATTATTCCAATCAATTTAAAAAAATATTTCAAAAACAGCCTGCGTTTTATTTTTCAGCCGACAATTAAAGGAGGCTGGTCAAACTTGTTTGCTAAGTGAACAGCATGAAGTTGATATTGGCTGCTTGCTGGCAGCACGCCGCTTCAATAACAGTCGGCACCCGTTTTAAATGAGTCTTCGCCATCGTGATAGTCGTCATTGAAAATGATTTTCGCACAAAAATAGATCTAACAATTTTGCGTTTTATGGTGTGGATTTTGAAAAAATGATAACTGAGCTTGCCCGAAAAACATGTCGATTTGAGCATAGTTTTGACCAATTAATCGCTTTTTAAATTTAAAAAATTGTGCTTAGAAAACTTTATGTTGTCAAAGTGAGCTTAAGCAATTGGTGGCCTATAGCAGTATCAAATGGGCAAATATAGAAAAGCAAAAAAATTCAAATTCCTGAAAGACTTCGAAAAAAAACTTCAAAAAAATTGACGCTGAACTGATTCCTTATCCCTATGAAGTTTATTTTGCATTGCAGAAATTTGCCCCAAACTTTATGATTTATAAAACCGTTTTTGTGAGGATCATAAATCATACAGTTTAGAGCAAATTTGCGCGTTGCAAAAAATTTTCGTGGACATGAGGAATCAGTTCAGCGTCAATTTTTTTCGATATTAGGTTTTGAAATCTAAATTTCGAACTATGACTTTAAATGGGAAGTATTCGCATGATAGAGGGACTGCATGATTGAAAACTTTCAACAAATCAGATTGACAGTACGATTGGTTAACCAATTTTCGCACATAACCGAAGTCGTTTTTAACAAAAAATTAATTTAGTTGTATAACTTGTGCCGATAAACAAAAACTTTTTATCATTTTTTTCGTTAAATTCAGTTTCAGCTTTTTTCCATCAGCCGATTTCGATTTTGCAATGTTTGAAAAAACGTATATCTGCTTAATGGGACGAAAATTTTAATTGATTAAAGGGTCTTCTATATTCATTTATCAGTCGATTTTTTTTGGCCTGGATTTATTCGTTTTTTTTGAGATTTTCGCCATTTGTTTAAGATTTTTGAATACTCGTTTCTGATTGGCTGAAAATAACTAAAATTAAATTTCCAAGATTCCGTCCCTCCATCGTGAGGGACGCCACCTCTATAAATAGTTACCAGCAGTAAAAATAAAATGTGATAAAAGCTAACAAACCGAAAAATAAATTATTACCATTCCAAAAAGCTGAAAAAATAACTTTGTTGCGCATTAGCACAACAGATTGTCACCGTTGTTCTGCAGTTTTTTGTAATTCTGATGTAATTTACGCTATTGTTATGTAACTTCGTCTTCAAGATATGGCAATTTGTAGATATGGTGGTTTGTTGAATATCCGCATTTGTTTTGTGCATCAGCCTCATTACGTAGCAAAAAGCAGACAGGTCGTAAAATAGACACGTCATAAAGTAGATAACTACCATATTAATCAATCAGAAAACGAGAACAAAAAGCAAACTCAGGAAACAAATATTTTATAACTATTTCTTTACTAATTTTTCTTTCTGTTCTCCATTCTGATTGGTTAAAATAGTAATTATCTATTTTTGACAGGTATGAAATAAAGGTTGTCTACTTTTTGACTGCACTGATGGCGCCTTTATTAGACAAACTGCGCATTTACGCTTTGCTCATCAAAAAATGGGATATAGTGATTACTTGGCAAGTAGACACGCCATACATTAGACACATCGTGAGTCAATTAGAATCGAGAAAAGAAAAAATTTGTGCGTGTTTTCTTTTCTTTATTCTAATTGGCTCACGATGTGTCCTTTTTTGAACGAACTCTAGATGCAATATGTTTTCTGAAGTTTCTTTTGTTTTCGGATGCTCTTTATGTCAAAAAGAGTAAGGAAAAGTCTAACATGATAACCTCCGTCAATTAGATCAAGTAAGATAATAAGACTTATACGATAATGTTTATACGACGTATTAAGATAATGTTCTGGTCATCGAAATTCATGCTAACTTTGATCGTACATGAAATGAGTGGAAACATAGGGATTCGACCCCCTGCCGGCCCAAAGTGTCCCCCTTTGTACTAATTTGAGATATACATTTTTGGCTGACTGACGCTAAAACTTTTCTAAAGGCGCCGTGGGCGCCAATATATATTAATTTCGAAGAGGGAGCGCGCGCCGAAAAAACGCTTTTTTTGGTCAAAGTTTTCCAAGCTTTTTTTTTGGCCTGTTTTTTCAAACATTTGCTTGCATTGTGACTTGAAATCCGCCCCCTCGAAAAAATCCTAGATCCGCCCCTGCTCCCCCCAATTAGACTAAGTTAAAATTGTCCATCCCAGTGTTCAATTTAGTTTAAGTTTGCTAAGCGCTTCGTGTAAAATATTCTGTTCTGATTGGCGGAAAATTCGAACTCAGAACCAAGTTACCATCCTCCCCATAAACGTGTTTGAGGTTGAGGATGTAAACTTCGTCCGCAATTTTAAAATGAATGAATATATTTTGTAATTATTTATCATGAAGTTTTTTCAACTCGATTGATAACTGCTAAATGGGTATACCACCTTCTATCAGATTTTTTGTTTATTTAGGAATGTTTTCATTAAAAACTAAATTTAAAACTTGTTCACAACTTTCAATTTAAGTTCCAATAGCCTTATTTAATTTATAACCCAATCCTTAATTGAAATTTTCTCGTATCTTTGAAAAAAAAATTTGTGACTGAGTGGTTGTAGATTTTGATTTTAGTTTTTTTCTTCTTAAATTTTTGTAATACACCGAGTACCGAGCATCGAAACAAGGTAAAGCATTAAGAAAGGAGGTTTTCAGATAAACTCCTGAAATTGCCGCTGGTTCGTCATAATTGTTGAACGAATTGTGTCCTTGAATTTATTTTAGCCAATCCAATTGTTCAAAAACACCAGTTCGCCACTTTTGAGATAATAGCAAAAAGACAGACCAATTTCAGAAAAACAGATGGCTATTCATAACGAACAAAAATAAGTTTGATTCCGTGAAAAAATTTCATTTTTAAGCGATCTAATTGAGTTTTCTCCCATCTTTTTTTTGCCACAAAAAAAACAAAAGCATGAATTTCACTTTCGCATCACTCTCAACTTATTATTAAAAGTCATAGCGGCCTTCTGGTTAAATTAAATTCAACGGTAGCGATCGTGGGAAATTAATCCCGGGATTGAAATGTTGGCGATTCAATTAGCCATAAATGGCCTTTGAACATAGAGGAAATGTCAGTG